GAGGCTGCAAGACCTGCTGAATAACTTTAAAATCTCGGGTTGAATCTTTCGACTGACCAGCAACATCAGCAGCTTTATTTTAGGGGTAAGAGAGCCCCAAATTTCTATTCCCCCTCCCATCACTAACCACCCCGACCCCCCTCATCCCTCCTGACCCCTGTGTGAGGAAATGCTTCCTGACACCACCCTTATTTAAAAGCCCCAGTTTGAATATTAAACTCCTGCCCCTTATTCTGTCCTCTACACCTCCCAATGCCAAGGAAAATAAAACCAAAAGACATACGAGTAGAAATTAGGCCATTCAGCCCATTGAGTCTGCTCCATCATTCAATCATGGCAGATAAGTTTCTCAAACCCATTTTCCCATTTTATCCCTGTAGCCTTTGATCCTCTTGACAATCAAGAACCAATCTATCTCAGTCTTAAATGTACCCAATTACCTGGCCTCCACAGCCCTCGGTGGCAGTGAACTCACTGGCTGAAAAACGTTCTCCTTATCTCTGTTCTAAAGGGTCTTCCCTTTACTCTAAGGCTGTGCCCTCGGGTCCTAGTGTCTCCTGCCAATGGAAACATCTTCCCAACGTCCAATCTGTCCAGGCCATTCAGCATTCTGTAAGTTTCAATTAGATCCCCCCACATCCTTCTAAACTGCATCAAATATAGACTCACAGTCCTCAAACGTTCCTCATATGTTAAGCCTCTGTCCAAGATTTAAAAATAAAACTCCAAAACTAATTAATAAATTAACAAACCAGGGAGTAACCAACTAATAAAGTAATTAACTAGGTACAGATGGTTGGACAGATGATGTGTTGTAGCTGTATGATGTGGGAGCTGGCTGATCCCATTGAGAACTGCAGTGACCACATCTGCAGCAAGTGTTGGTTGCTTGAGGAACTTTGGCTCAGAGTTGATGAGCTGGAATCGGAGCTTCAAACACTATGGCACATCCGGGAGGGGGAGAAGTACCTGGACTATTTGTTTCAGGAGGCAGTCACACTTGGTAGGTTAAGTAATTCAAATTTGGTCAGTGGCCAGGGATAGCAGGGTGTGACTGTAAGCGAGGCAGTTAGAGTGATCCTGCAGTCAGGAACAGAGGAGCCTCAGCTCTTGACCTTGTCCAACAGGTACAAGGTACTTGCTCCCTGTGTGGATGAGGAAAAGAGCTGCAGGGAGGATGAGCCATCTGACCACTGCACCGTGGTATAGGAGGCCATTCAAGAGGCAGGAGCAAAAAGGCAGGTGGTAGTTGTTGGGGATTCTATAATTAGGGGAATAGATAGTGTTCTTTGTAAGCAGGATCAAGAGTCCCGCATGGTGTGTTGCCTGCCCAGTGCCAGGGTAAGGGATATCTCTGGTCGGCTTGAAAGGATACTGGAGAGGGAATGAGAGGATCCAGTTGTTGTGGTCCACGCTAGAACAAACAACATAGGCAAGACTAGGAAAGAGGAACTGTTCAGGGATTATCAGGAACTAGGAAATAAATTAAGGAACAGGTCCTCAAGGGTTGTAATCTCTGGATTACTGCCCGAGCCACGTGCAAATTTGCATAGAGATGCGAGAAAAGGGAAGTAAACACGTGGCTAAAAGAGTGGTGTGGGAAATGGGAAAAAAATTCAGAAATCTGAAGTGCAAAGGACCTGAGAGTCCTAGACCAGGATTCTCTTAAGGTAAACTTGCAGGTTGAGTCAGTAGTTAGGAAGGTAAATGTAATGTTGGCACTTTTCTCGAGAGGACTAGAATATAAAAGCAGGGATGTACTTCTGAGCCTTTATAAAGCTCTGGTCAGACCACATTTAGAATATTGTGAACAATTTTAGGTCCCATATCTCAGGAAGGATGTTCTGGCCCTGGAGCGGATCCAGAGGAGGTTCACAAGAATGATCCCAGGAATGAAAGGCTTAACATATGAGGAATGTTTGAGGACTCTGGGTCTATACTCGATGAAGTTTAGAATGATGACAGGGAATCTAATTGAAACTTGCAGAATACTGAATGACCAGGACAGAGTGGATGTTGGGAAGATGATTCCATTGGTAGGAGAGTCTAGGACCCGAGGACAGCCTTACAGTAACGGGAAGACCTTTTAGAACGGAGATAAAGAGAAAGCTCTTCAGCCAGAGAGTGGTGAATCTATGGAATTCACTGCCACAGAAGGCTGTGGAGGCCAGGTCATTGAGTACATTTAAGACAGAGATAAATAGGTTCTTGATTATCAAGGGGATCAAAGGTTATGGGGAGAAAGTGGGACAATGGGGTTGAGAAACTTATCAGCTATGATTGAATGACGGAGCTGACCTGATGGGCTGAATGGCCTAATTTTTGTTCCTATGTCTTATGGTCTTATAGCCTTTCATTCCTGGGATCATTCTCATGACCCTCCTCTGAATCTGCTTCAGGGCCAGTACATCCTTGCAGAGGTGTGGGGCCCAAAATTGCTCACAATGTGGTCCGACCAGCACCTTATAAAGCTTCATAAGTACATCCCTGCTTTTATATTCTAGCCCTCTCGAAATAAATGTTGTTATTGGGAGCCCGGAGAACACCAGCTCCAGCTATTGGCTTATACAGACAGGAGAAGAGTCAATTCTTGTAACCACACAAATTATTAGTGTATTAAACAAGACATGTGTTGCTTAAATGTTTTTATCACAAAACTAGACCTTATATGTTTTCCCAAAAAATGAACTAGAACCTATTTATACACCCACTAGAGTCCTCTGACACTTCCCAAATAGTCACAGAATATAAAAGCTAATACCCGATCAGGATAGCTGCTGCTGGCCAGGCGCTACACTCAATATCGTCACCACGTCCTTGATATAAGGTCTGCATCAGCGGTGGTTGGTCTCCGGAGTTTTCACTGGCTGCATGCCCCGAGGGTCTTCTTTGTATCCTTTTTCTTATTTCTCTCAAGTTGTGCTGTCTTCTTCCCGTTGGCTCAGGCTAATTCACTTACTGCATGCCTTTACCTTATTGGCCCTGGCCCAGAGAATTAGGTAGCATTACCTCATTATTTCTCGTCCAAATAAGGCTTTTGCATTACCCCATCGTTCTTACTTTTTGCAGAATTTAGTTAATTCAAACTGGTTTAAATCGGCTGAAACTAGTACCTAGGTGCAGGTTATTTTTAGTTCACAAGCTGCTTCTTTCTTTGTGTCAGCACCTTTGCATTCAGTATCTCATATTAGCGATGTCAACAGCTGGTACCGCATCCCCCTCTCTCTCTATCTCTCTGTAGCCTCTGGCTGATATCTACCCAGACAGCGATGTCAGCAGCTTGTACCTTTCTCTTTCTCTCTCTCTCTGCAACCTCTGGCTAACAATGCCAACATTGTATTTGCCTTTCTAACTAGTGACTCAGCCTGCAAATCGACCTTAAGAGAATCCTGGACTAGAACTCCCAAGTCCCTTTGCACTTCAGATTTCTGAAGTTTCTCCCCATTTAGAAAATAGTCCATGCTTTTCTTCTTACCAAAGTGCATGACCTCACACTTTCCCACATTGTACTCCATCTGCCACTTCTTTGTCCACTCTCCTAACTTGTATAAATCCTGCTGCAGCCTCCCTGCCTCCTCAATACTACCTGTCTCTCCACCTATCTTTGTATCGTCTGTAACATTTCTCTCTTGACCCTGTATGACCCCTTAATCATCTTAAACAGCTTGATCAGATCACCCCGTAATTGTCCAGGTTCGAGGTGATACAAACCCAGTTTGTGTACCTGTCCTTATAATTTAACCCTGTAAACTCCTGAAGGAGATCCAGTGGTATTATCGCTACACTATTACCCAGCCTCCCAGGGAATGTTCTGGGAATGTGCGTTCGAGTCCCACCACTGGCAGGTGGTGAGATTTGATTTCATAAATTCAATAAAATCTGGAATTGGGAGTCTAATGGTGACCGTGAATCCATTGTTGATAAAACCCATCTGTTCATTAATACTCTTTAGGGAAAGAAACTGCCCCCCTTATCTGCTCTGGCCTATATGCAACTCCATACCCACAGCAATGTGGTTGACTTTGGGCAATAAATGCTGTCCTAGCCAGCGACGCCTTCATCCTGAAAATGAATAAAATATTTCCAGGGCTTGACCCCTCTGTGTGGTATTATAGACTGGGATCGTAGGTCGAAAAGATAGTGAAGAAGGTGTTTGGTATGCTTGCCTTTATTGATCAGTGCATTAAGTACAGGAGTTGAGAGGTTTATGTTGCGGCTGTGCAGCACATCAGTTAGGCCACTATTAGAATAATGCATTCAGTGCTGGTCTTCCTGCTACAGGAAAGATGTTGTGCAACTTGAAAGGGTTCAGAAAAGATTTATAAGAATGTTGCCAGGTTTGGAGGGTTTGAGTTATAGGGTGAGGCTGAATAGGCTGGGGCTATTTTCCCTGGAGCATCGGAGGCATATAGAAGTTTATAAAATCATGAGGGGCATGGATAGGATAAATAGGCAAGGTCTTTTGCTCAGGGTGGGGGGCATCCAAAACTAGAGGGCATAGGTTTAAGATGAGAGGGGCAAGATTTAAAAGGGACCTAAGGGGCAACTTTTTCACACAGAGGGTGAGGCATGTGTGGAATGAGCTGCCAGAGGATGTGGTGGAGGCGGGTACAATTACAACATTTAAAAGCCTTCTTGATGGGTATATGAATAAGGAGGATTTAGAGGGATATGGGCCAAACACCGGCAAATGGGACTAGATTAAATTGGGATATCTGGTCGGCATGGATGGGTTGGACCAAAGGTTCTGTTTCCACGCTGCACATTTTTATGACTCTGGAAGGCTAAATGCACTTTTCTGTGCAATATCAAAGTCTCTGATTTTATTTGTTAACAAATTTGTGCTCCTGTGTAGAATCTTGACCTTATGGCAACCATAGATTCCACTGCTGAATTTGAGGATTTCAGTTCCTTTGACAGAATTGAGAAATTAGTCCGAGTGAGCGATCTGAGAACCTATTTGGCTCTTCACAAAAATTACAGGCAGCTGAGTTAATGAACACGGATTGATGTGAGTCATTTCTAAAGACTGTGGAGCTTTTGAAGAGGAAGTTAAGGGAGGGACACGACAGAATAAAAGTGGATTACTAATCAGGCAGATTCACACAACGTACTAGGATGGATTCTCATTGCCAGTACAACACTTTCCGAAGGATTTGTCAGCTGACTGAAACAAGGTAAGAAATAAAGAGCTCCTCTCAAATCTGTTAGCTGAAAATTCTATTTGGAATAAAGCAGTGCATCTTGAAGAAAAAAAGGTATTTCATAAAAGGTAATATTTTGCATAATAAATACCAGACATAACTTTCTATTTCTCCACTGCTTGCAGTTTCTCTTCAGTTGCTTTTAGGATTCTCCCATTTCAAGTTGTCTAATGTCATAATTTTCTTTTTCCCTCTAATTTTCCTTCAATCATTTCCTTCAGTAAGTTCTTATGCCTTAGAATATGGCCTTTCCTTGATGGGTTGCCTTTATATAGCAGCTTTAATGTGGTGAGATGTCCCAAGTTGCCTCATAGAAGTCTGAAATAAAATCAAAAAATGTTGGAAATATTGAAGAGGTCATGCATCATTGTCTGAGGAGAAACAGGTTTGTCTCAACACAAAACAGCATCCAGGCACTATCACCTTGTTGTTTGTGGGATCTACCTGTGCATTCATGGTGCGCTGTGCTTCCTTCATTGTGACAGTGACTACATGTCAAAATGAGCCTCATTGAATGCAATGTACTTTGGAAAGCCCAGAGGCTGTGCAAAACAACAAATCACTCCTTTTGTATTCTTTGTTCACACTTGAAAATGATACATGATGCTACTGTGTATAGGTGATATATATGATAGATATACGGTGAGATAGGTGATATAAATGATATATATAGGGTGATAGTGCACATATGTGGCATTTGCGATACAGGATGATATTCTATATAGGCGATACAAGGTGACATTAAGATACTGTATGCATGTGATGACTTATAAGATGACGTATAGAATGGTACTCTATACAAGTGATGCTATATAAAATGACATAGTGGGGGTGGTCTTGCAAATAGGTTAAATATAAGATATATAGGAACATGAAATAAACATGGAATTGGCAATTGAACTTCTGCTTAGATTAAAATGAGGTGCTACCTCATTGATTGGAAGCTTTTATTAATTTATTGGTCCCCCATTGCTGAATTCTAAAATTCTCCCAAACCGCAGGCTTATTGCTCATTTTTGGCAACTTTATAAGCCTTGACCTTTGATCTAATACAGTCTTTAACTGCCAATGTTAGCCATAGCTCTCTCTGTTTTACCCTAAAAAATGGTATACTTTTTAAAAACTAAGCATTTATTCTTTCAATACTAGCCATTGCTCGTCTATAGTCAAACCTATTAATGTAACTTTCCAAACCACTATAGCCAACTTCCTCCTCATGCTTTCAAAATCACACTTGTTTCGATTTAAAAGCCCAGTTTCATACTGAACTACATTCTTTTTCAGCCTCATGGACTATTCTATCACATTATGGTCACTAATCCCTAGAGGTAATTTTACAAGATTTTTAAATAGCCTTTTCTCATTGGACAATATTAACCTGTGTCTTAGTTTATCAACATATTGTCGAGAAAATGTTCTTGGACACATTCCAGGAATTTGTCCTCCACAGCATTGGTACTCATTAGATTTACTTGCCTACTTGTAGACTATAATCACCCATGATTACTGTATTCCCCTTGCTACTTACACCTTTAATATCCTAATTTATACAGTACACTACACTGCCATGTTTGTTTCTCTCCTCATAATGTTTGTTGCCCCTTGCTGTTTGTCTGTTGAACCCAAACTGATGCTACACCCTGTTCATTTGATTGGATGTTCTCTCTAACTATTACTGATCCCATTCCTTATTATCAGTATTTATCCAGATCTCTTTCCTTTTGTCTGTCTTTCCTAAATGTCAAATATCCTTTAATATTCAGTTCCCAGCCTTGGTCACCTCGCAGCCATGTCACTCCAATAGCAAGTTTCAATTCTGCCCTTTTAAAACTGTTCTGCATCTTTATCCTGAAGGACTCTTGGATTCTGCTGCTTTTCACTTTCATTCTCAACTTTTCTACTTCCCATAAACAGCTTTTATTTCTTCTGATTTGAGTTCCCTCTTGGGTTTACATTTGTCTGACAAGTTAAGTGAGATACACTCCAAACAGCACAAGCAAATCTCTCGCTGAGGATACTAGCTCCATTTCTGCTATATACCGTCAGATTACTTCAAAATGGCCACCCAGGAGATTGAAGGATCAAGTTAAAAATGTGCCAACCTAACAATAGCTTGGTTAAACAACTAGACAAACAAGTTCAGCAGGCAACAGTCAAAGCTGAAAGGGTACCGATAATTTAAATGATTAATTTGATAAACCAATCTAAAATTACAAGCTGTAAAATAGATATAAACTTCAATAGTTAAATCCATCATTGTGAGACCAACCCATATTAGGACTAGGGCTAATTGTGAGTGAGATAAAACCCATTTGGCCAAAATATCAAATAATCCCATTGGAAATTCAGGATAACGTTTCCCCAGGTCAGCAGAATGTGGGACTCGCTCCCAAAGAAAGCAGTCAAGGTGAATTGCACTGATGTATTTATGGGGGCAGATAGATCAATGCACAAAGTAGATAGGAATAGAAGGATATGGCAATGGGGGGTGAGATGAAGAGGGAGTGGGAAGTGGCTTGTGTGGAGCAGAAATACTAGTACATCCCCATGGCCTGAATGGCCTATTTGTGTGAAGTCAATATGACAATAGCTTTTACTTTCCAGGAGATTCCAGAACCATCGGATGCACCTGGCAGCATTCACTGCAATCTTGGGAAACTTGAGCTTTGGCTATGCCCTGGTCTACACTTCCCCTGTCATTCCAGAGCTGGAGCATTCTCTCGACCCACAGCTTCGACTTGATAACTACAACGCCTCCTTTTTTGAGGTAATCAAAGGAAACAACTCATGTTTCAGGGGATGAGGATTGGTATTTCTTAGAATGGGCAATGTCAAGGGAGCTTTACTCTTTACTTAACCCCATTCTGTCCCTATCCTAGGAGTATTTGATGGGGAAAGCATAGAGGAAGCTTTATTCTATGTCTGACTCCATGCTGTCCCTTTCCTGCGATTGTTTGATGGGGATAGTGTAGAAGAAGCTTTACTCTGTATCTAACCCTGTTGCTAACAGACACACACACACACACATACACACACTCTCTCTCACACACACACAGTCACACATACACACACACACTTACACTCACACACACAGACACACGCACACAGACA